CGTTGGAGTTTCATTTAGCTCATACTTTGCTAAAAATTCCATTTCAGGTAATTATACTTCGAGAAAATTTTTCGAGGAATTTCTCGAAAAATCTCGACGAATTCCTAGAGAGATTTCTCGAAAAACCCCTCGAGAAATTCCTCGAGAAATTTCGAGGAATTTTTCGAGGATTTTTTCGTGACGAATTCATTTTGCAGTGATGGCCTAACTTTTGCATGTTTGGTTTTCTAGGCCACCACGTAAAGATGGCCTAGAAATGGCCTGACATGAACATGGTGTGTTTTCTAGGTCATTTTGAAGTGGTGGCCTAGAAAACCAAATTTGCAAAAGTTAGGCTACCACTTCAAAATGGCTTAAATATGCCCTAACATCGCAATAGTATGTTTTCTAGGCTATTTTGAAGTGTGGCCTAGAAAAATAAAATCACGGAACGGAAATTTTGGGTAATCCAAAAATTGCTAGGACCTTCATTCAAGTACTATCCTGAGATCTAACCTTGACATTACATTTTCTTTGCTCAGTATCCAAAATGACACCCGAAATGTGGTATATTGAGTCCTTAAGGTACGCTAGTTGATAGTGTACCTGGACCTTTCACAGATGTTCTGGGGATCATGGGACATATGGGAGTTAGATTAAAGGCTGCAACGAGCAGAGTTATTAAACTTGCCGTCGTTTTTTGGGTGTACCACATGAAGGAAACACGATGATTCAGCCTAAGTCTATAATTGAAGAAATCTTTTCTAATTCAAAATTGGTCTTCTTGGAACAAAATGTTGGTCCGGAATAAGAATAGCCTTGGGCCAAATCGAGTAGAAATCTTGGCATGAAACTTCTTGTCTCGGATTTCTCATTTTTCAAAAATTGGATGATATTTTTGGATTGAGGAAGCTTTTTTCAATCACAGGCTTAGGCTGAAACGCCATGCTTCTTTTATCTGAAACACCCTAAAATGTCAGCAAGCTCAATAACTGCTTGATGTAGCTTTAAAATGAATTTTCAGATGTTCTACAGGTCCTATGTTACCTGTTAACTAGCGTATCTTAAGAAATTGATAAACCCTTTTTTAGTATACTTTTGGGTATTGGACAAAGTAAAATTGATGCCAAAGTTAGTATTACGGATACTACTTGTCAAAGTGAAGAAGATAGCAATTTTTTGGATTACCCAAAATTTTCGTTCCGTGATTTTATTTTTCGTTCCGTTATTTTTTTTTCGTTCCGTGATTTTTCGTTCCGGGATTTTTTTTTCGTTCCGTGATTCTAGAAGAGTGCCAAACAAACTCAGATCCAGAGGCCGTATTCATGAAATTAGGAAACTGGAATTTTGAATTTTAATGAAACTGAGAATAATATAAAGACAGATACGATATTAACATAAAAATAATGGAAAAATAAACTTTAAAAAATTGAAGCCCCCAAAAAATCACTTCCAAAATTGATGAAATTTCAAAAGTAGTACTTCTCTGACAACTTTCAAACCGTTCCCGATTTATGTTTTAATGTTTGACCAACACTAAATTATCTCAATGATTTATTTCTCCTGACATTTTCTAGAGGTGAGACATAACTGGCCATGAGTCAATGCAACTATTTGTATCGTTTCCAAAGAGAATGGATGCCAATAAACAACAAAAAACTTTAATTGTCAAACGAAGTTCTAGCTTTGTCAAACATTCAGATATCTCTTTTTAACAGGGACCTAACTGTAAGCTTTTGTCATATCTGCCATATCTTTGTTAGTAACTTATAAAAAACAATGAACCATTGATATTTCGTTCATATTACAAGAGTAAATATTTACTTCGAGTTAATCCTTTTGTAAATACGGTAAATCCATTTTCCAGTAAATCGATTTACAGGTGTAAATATTTACACAAAATTATCACTGAAAAATCAAGAAGAATAAGAAAATATCAGTGATGTGAAAGAAAAGTCACTGTACCTCTGAAGGAAAATGCTTTCTTTTACCAAACTTTCATGAATACCAATCACTCTATTTTCCTCTTTGTAAATCATTTACACGTTCTATTTACCTAAAAGTAAATGTTCATGAATACGGCCTCAGAATGGTCAAAATTTCCGAAAATCCACTGAAAAAAACTTGATTGAATATTAATTGGCCGGTATTGTATGTGAAAGCGGTATGGAAACGTCCAAACGCATACGGTGACCCAAAAAAAAACCTTCAAGGATCTAATGACTCCCCACCTCTAAGACAAATAAAACCTATAGTTATACAGACGTAGAAAGAATTCCCCAGTATTATCAAAATTTTCAATGATGAATAATTTCAAAAATCGTATTTTTCTCTCCCGGAAAAATTGTATCGCTATAACCAAAAATCTGTTTATTAGTCATTTATTTTCATTCTTGAAAATCATGACTACATTTTTTATTATTTACTTTTGTGAATAATGCCTTTCTTTCCACACCGAACATCAAATTTGATCACTATATAATAGTCAAAATCAACTAGAATAATTTATTTTTTCTAATTTTTCCATCCAAATTCTCAAATTGAAAATGCAACCGTATCTTCAAATTGCTCAATATTCCGGTGTATTTTGTACAGAAATTTCAAATTTTTTACTTCTATTTCTCATCCTTAAAAAATCTCCACCTCGTCTTGGGTCGTATAAATATATCATGATTTCGTATGCCGTATTTTCTATATTTTACGCAATTGTTGAGATTTTTACCCAGCCAGTGAGTGCGCTCTATGGGACTTACGGTAAAACCTGTATTAGAAGGGAGCCTTTAATAGAAGGGTCCCTCTAATACAAGGGCCCTCCAAGAGAGGCTTCGAAAGATAGAAGGGCTCCCTCTAATTAAAGGGCCCCTGTAATAGAAGGGCCCTCCGGAGGTACCTTGAAACAATTGAAGGAACGCTCCTTCTAATACAGGTTTTATGGTATACGGTTTAGAGTTTAGAGAAATTGCTCTTTTTTTTCAGGTAATTTACTTGAATGGCGCCTGCTTTTTTATTTATGTCGACAGTTTTTTCAAATTTGAAAATTCGATTGCTTTGTACTGTATGGGACTGTATTGTGGTAGTTTTGGACTATGTGTGTCTTTACTTGCTTTACATTTTGTATACAGATACGTGGCAATTTGCAGGTGAAGATTTTTGGGATTCAAATATTCAGAAAATTCGAAATTCCAAAAAATCAGTAACTTCGAGAAGTTCTAAAGTTTCCAAAATCAAAAATTCCGATTCTTTGGGGGATTATAATTTTTCGAAACTCAAAACGTTTTGGACTATTCCATATTTTGTAACAATTTGAAATTTAGGAAAATCAAGAAAATTCACATTTCTAGACTTTTCAAGTAGCTCCGAATTTTTAGAAAATGCTGATCTTTTAGAAACTCAAAAATTATTTTTAAAAATCTTATGAACAATCTTACAGACCCCAAAACATGCATCATTTCCAAGGTCTCAGCCTTCTCAAAATTTATACAGTTCCATTATTTTTATTCGTCTTATGGTACCTTACAGTAACCATTCCATTGGGCCCAACCGACGTTAAAGCTGAGTATATGAGGTAATAAAACGCAGATACATCCGGACACACCGTCACACAGACAGATAATTTTCAGAGAGTCCATTCAGCAGATTTATGGAGACGATACATTCAAACTTTCCTATGTTGGCGCTCTATATTATGTAATTGTTTTTTTATATTTTCAAAATTATTTTATGAATATCAAGTTAAGAGGAAAAACCAAGAATTTAGTAAACTCAAGTTTTCGGAACTTCGAGAATTCACAATAGAATTTCTAATATTCAATTTTCTCCCAATTTCCAGTATACCGACTCTTCTAAAGACCTTATCATTAACTGGCAAGATTTTGGTGGAGCTTTTACACTTTGTGGAATTATGGTAGTTAATTAATATTTTAAAAATTACCCAAATCAATTAATTTCCAGCAATTATGCATTTCTACAATGATGATTTGTGGTTGGAAGACGTTTAAAAAATTGAAAAGTGTCGGAGCATCGATGAGTCCGAAAACGAAAGAATTGAATAATCAATTGTTCAAAGCGCTGGTTTTTCAGGTTCTCGTGGCCTAGAAACATGTGTTAGGCCATCATTATTTTCAATTTTCAGACTCTCATCCCGTTGTGCATTATGTTTGGTCCGGTTGGCGCTTTATATATCCTGCCAATGTTTTCTATTAATATTGGAAAATTGGCAAATGCTCCAAGTTTGTATGCTGGATTTTATCCGGCTCTTGATGCGCTGGTTGCAATTCTTATGATCAGAGATTATCGGGATACTGTACTTTGTGAGTTGGCTGAATTTCAAAAAGAAAAACTTATTTGATTAAAAATTCAATGTTTAAATATTTTTCAGGCAAAAAATCAAAAATAAAATCGCACGGTAGCGTTGTACCAGCCACACATCAGTCGTCAAATTTTGCACAGACTGAGTAAAATTATGAGAATTTTCTACTTTCTTGTCTTTCTATAATTTTTCCTTATTTTATGAATAAAGTTTCAGTTCTTCTGAATTTCTAAAAGTTGTTTTCATAAGTCCTAAACTTCAAAAGATCAAAAAAAATGTATCATGTCCCACCCTATTTTTTTAGAAAAAAAAGACTAAAACTGAATAAAACTCAAATTTTCACTTCATCGAAATAGATCAAATAGTCGAAACCAAGATCGTCAGTTGACGTCAACTTTCTTCTCAGAATACCTAGTTTTTATCAATCACAAAGAAATACGAAGCGAATCACAACCCAATTAACTTTTTCGTAGTCGAATAGATCAGAAATCGGGAAAAGAAGATATTTTCTTCTTATGACCAATTTGGCTGGTTTTTTTTTGATTTCTAGGAATCAGAGAAATTTTGAACAATGACAAAAGTGTTCACTATTTTTCTGGTAGCCCTTTTTCTATTGGGTGAGCTTAATTTTTAATTGTTTCAATTGAAGATGTAATATTTTAGAGATGGTTATGAGTGAACATGGAGATCATGATCATCACGACCATGATCATCACGACCATGATCATCATGGCTGGGGACGGAATTACCATGATCATGGAGACGGGGGCAGTGGAAGAGATATGTCCCATATTCGTCCATTATTCGGGAGAGGAGGGTAAGTTTTCGATTTATTAACTGTAAAAAAATCAAATTTGCATTTGATTCTTCTTTTTTCAAAATCAATTTTTCGTTCTTTAAAAACCAATTTTTTGAAAATAAAACTTCTGATTTTTCAGAAAAAAATTTAAAAATTTTCAGATATTTTGGTGGTGGAGGTGGCGGAGGACTTTTTGGGCGACTTTTTGGCTGGAGAAGGCGTGGATATTATAATCAGGGATACTATCAAGGATACCCGAATTATGGATTCTGTAGATGTAAGAAATCTTATTAATGTTTTTATCATTTTTAATCATTTATACAAGAAAGTCCAATTTCTTTCATTTGTAGAAAAACATTAGAAAATGTCGATAATTTTTGAATTAAAGTTTCTTTAAAAATTAGCAAACTCATTTTATTTTTTTATTTATATGTGGTGTACGGTGAGATTTTTGTTGCATCAAAATGTGCAGAAATGCATGTAGATTGACATAAAAATAAAGAAAAATAAAAAAAAATTCCTTCATGAGAAAAACGCATCGAAGAATAGGCTGAAAGCCCTTAGGTACGAGCTTTTTTGGTTTGTTTTTCTAGACCAACCAATGAGTAAAAGCGCGCGAATTCAAACTTTTAAAATTTTTTCTCTCGTTTTCATTCTTTTTTCAGGTTTTCCGATGTATCTGGGAGAGACATTAACAAAAACCTTGAAAAATCTTGAAAAAAAGAATAGAAAAAACACGGTGAATTTTTTAGGACGGTGAATTTTCTAAAGTAAATGCGTTCTAACGCGAATACTGTAGTTAAGCGCGCTGAGTATCGGCGCGAATGCTGAAAAATGAATTACTGATTGTGAGTCGCTACCTAGCGAAATTGCGACCA